ATGATCACATCGGCAAGCCTGGTGCGTTGCAGCGTGGTGGGGTTGAAAATGGTTATGGGTCGGGAGGGAATTGAACCATTCGTTTTCACATTCGGACACGATGTGCTAGACCGCTGCACCACCGGCACTTGCAGTCTGCTTGTTGGAGCACCTATATTCTGTATGTGTGGCATCTCATAGATGATCTGTATTGTCTGGCAGCTGTCTGTAGCACGCACTTTTGGCGGTTGTCGGCTTTTCACAGGACTTCTGCGAGATATAAATTAAGATAGGGTCGGACTTCGCATTTTCATTATTCCAGTTTCTTCGGAAACTTGTTAACCATTACGCTATTTGGCTTGCGTGTCCCACAGTGGGTACGTGTTACTTATGAATTCCTGTGTATGGCGCTTACTTGTGTCCATCCCATGTAGTTTTTGCTTGCAACAGTGCGCTTCAGTGCTGTTTTGTGGGAACCATGAACTACTTCAGAACCCGGTTGTTGATGGTTGATGTCTGTGACGATTCTCAGGCCCAAGGCAACATTCACTGAGTGGGTGCCCAGTTGACTTCGCTTATCGGATCTCAAGGAAAGTGAAAACCCTAAGCAGTTTCAGTATCTTTCTGCAGCTATGCCGATTTTGAAGCAAATTGTATTTTCTAGGCAAAGAGTGATGGATGATGACTGGGAGATGTCGAGCTCACTGAACTGGGCCGAAGGCGAGAATGAACCGATGAACGAGATGCATATGAATGAAGGCAGTGATGATGAAGATGAGGAGGAGGAAACGGTGAGTATAGCACGCGGTTATGACGAAGGCGGCAATGACAACGAAAATGGTAACGATAACGACGATGACTGTGGCAGCGACGATGACGATGACGAAGATGATGCGGCAAGTGCGGAGCGCCGGAGACGTAGCTTACGCAGTGCCCATTTGCCACGCGATCAGATCGGACCATTGGATATGGATTTGAACGAATTGGAGACATTGTTCGATATACCTGAAGTGTTACAGTGGGAGGATGACGATATCTGTAATCTTTTATTCCTTCGAGCATTTAAATCTATTAGCTCGTGCACTGCTTGCAGGTGCGCGACTTGAGCTGAAACTTTTCAGGAAGTTTTTTTTTTTTTGGAATATAAGTCACGTTATCAATAATTTCTGATCACATCGATACTCCCACTTACAGACTCCAGTGAATACAGCATTTGTTAAATTTTTTCCTTCCTCGGTCGGAAGCATACCTTTTGTAAAAATGGCAAACAAATCCCCTCGCTCACC